CGATTGCTTAATAAAACTTTTTGAGATAATTATTAGGATCAATTTGATGCTAACAATCTCCCCCTAAAGTTTTATGAAGCAAGCATCTTCATGAAGTCTTCAGGTCTTCTCCTCTCTGCTTTCTTGATTAAAGCTTTAGTTTGCTTGGTATGGATGAAATTTTCAAGCTCCCCCCTGAATGTATCTCTTTGTTCTTCATTTTTCAACTCTTAGATCAAATCAGATTCAATGTGAATGCATCACCACTGATTGCACAAGATGCAGCTTTAATCTGCCCATTATCCAACACATTCTTTGAAGCACAAAATAGCCACTCACCCCAAAAGTAGCAAATTCATCCAAAAAGGGATAGATAAATGTATGAATTACTTGACAAAACAGTGCAAACAGTCTTATGACAAAGAAACTTTCATTGAACCGCAAGTTGAGTAGGAATTCAGCTTTAGAGCTTGATTCAATTGAAGATAACTTGAATAACCAAAGCAAACACCATTGTTATTGAGAAGTAGAGAGAAGAATTAACATTTAAGCTTTATGACTCCAAGAAACAGCAGGTCAATTTAAAGAAAATTGAGAGAATTGCTGTTAATGCATCTAAGGGCAAAACATGAAGGAATTTGCCATAAACATGTAGGATTGGTGATTACAGGCAAAAATTTTTTTTAAGCTATTATATATTCAAATCCACAAAAGAGAGAAGATGAAAGAATACTCAAGATATTGGCGATAAAAATATGTTTGGCAAATAAAACGCCAATTGCCTTAGGCTGTGAGTACCATGAATTCTTGCTAAAACGCCTACGCGTAGATTTGACAAAATCAAGGTTCAATAAGTCGACTGACTCCAAGAAACTCTATAGACCAAAAGATTCAAGATCAAAATAGGTTCGAATTCATCCAAGAACAAATCCCTTAAAAGGAATTTGATTAAAACATTTAAACATATGATGAAATCAGAGTTTTTGGGACCAAACTGCAGTCGAACAGGAAGCAGTTCATGAGAGTATTTTTCAAGAAAATTGAATCTACTGCTAGAAAGATCGTATCGATAGAAGTTAATCGATTTGGCTCTGATACCACTTGTTAAAACCTAGATCTGACAATAGAACAATTTAATAAGGAAATTTAAGAGAAATTTGTAGAAGAAGAAGATGAAATAGAAATCGACGGCGCTTTCTTTATTGAATTGGAAATTACAAACTCTCAAGAACCCTAATCGACT